CACTGACAAAAAAAAAAAAAAGGACAAAAAAAAAAAAACTACAGTAGAAGAAATAAATAAGAAATGCTACATAAATCGTGTTATCAAAAGTATCAAAACACTGCATATTCTTCACGGAGTAAATCTAATATATATTTCTTCATTTTTAAGTTACAAAAGTGATTTAGTCAAGAGCAGTGAGAGATTTTCTCTCTTTTGTTTTTTGATTAACATGAATAACAGACAGCAGGAATTTTAGACTGCTGTCACTTTAAGAGCTTCCCGGATCCAATATACTGTCACACGTTTTCTTGCACATATAGCCAAATGAGTTCCCTTTTGCTGCTGACTGAATATCGTGCATATTCATTACCGTGATATATCGCATTACCGAATACTGGCACAAGTCTATATGAATGACAGGAATATTAGAGGTGCCCGATCCAATATATTGTTACATGTGTGTGTGTTTCTTTTCTCAGCTGTTTGCTTTCACTTAAAGGCACAATATGTAATTTTCGCCCCTAGAGGGCGGAGGGCGGTCGAGGGGTTATGACGTCATTGGCAGGCGACACAATGACACTATGGACACGCTCCGTGTCACTAGTTAAAATTGCTTATTTCTCTGGATTTAAACATTCTTCGAAACATTTGGGATAATGTAAGTACACAAGTCAGCAAAATATATAACACTGTTCTAGTGGTTTTTGGATATTTTAATAAAAAAATCTTACATATTGTGCCTTTAAGACTAGAGCTACTGTGTTTACGAGGATACTTGCAAAGATGGGCATTTTGACACACTAGTGTATGTATTTAACCGTTCAAGGCCTATAAATCGACCTTAGTACTAAATAAATCGGCCTAACTCCATTCAGTACTCCTGCGCTCTATGAGCACCTTCTTCATTTGTGCCCACATCTCAGACAACGCGCACATATGAGTTCTTTCACTGCCGATTGTATTTCAACGGCTTAAAACCTCTTGTTTTTAAACCGCAATGCTTGTGCAAACGATAAGTTTTAGTGACAGCATAGCACAGCAACGTCACGTGAGCATGTACGTTAACCACGATAGAAACTATATTCAAACATCTCTACCGGTTGACAAATTTCTACCAGTTAATCGTGTCTACCGGTATATCGCCCACCCTAGGACTGGGTGATCCTAATATTTTCAGCCTCATCATATGATAGTAACTGATATAATCTCAATATTTACATATTTACAATCTCATGCTGTTCCAAAACCACATGGCTTTCCCTCTTCTATGGAATAAAAAAAGTTAACTTCTAAGGAATATCCTGGCCACTTTTCCATGTAATAAAAGGCTGACTGGGAACTGCAACCTTTAAAATGAGATAAAAGGCACCATAAAAGTATAACAAAGCTTTAAATCAGAGATGCTATCAAAACATTTCTTTGCCCTCATACTTCTGAGTCACTGAGTCACAAGACAAGGAGGGATAGTGAAACTAAGTTAATGACACAGCCTTGTTCATGACAGAATACTAGCTTACTGCATTTCACATAATATAAACCACGCAACCATTTCAGATAGTACATTACATTACATACACTACCATGTTTTTTTTTCCTTTTGGAAAGAAATACTATTTTTATTCACAAGGATTAAAAAAGAAATGAATAAATAAACAAATATTACATTTTAAAATATAATCAAATATTAAGCCGATTTTAAATTGTAATAATAATAATTCACAACTTCACTTCTTTTTTTAACTGTATTTTTGATCAAATAAACACAGCTTTGATAAGCATTAGGCCTAGAGACTTCTTTCTTAACATTAAAAAAGAAATCTTGCTGATCTAAAACATTTGAACAGTAGTTAGGGTTAAGTTTAAACCTGAGTGGTGTAGACATTTAATGAAACAGATCACAAATCACAGCAGTCAAACAGAAATGGAAGGTCAAGTTAAATACAATGTGTTATGAGATACAGAATGCTAGGTTGTATTTTGGGCATTTGACAAATAATCGGTCATCTAGGTATGCAATGCATACATAAAAGTTGCATACTATGAACAGAACATAATACATACTACAGAAACAGTAAGAATAGTATTACATTATTCTATTCTAAACATACCCTCTAGAAAAAAGTAACAACCAAGCAAAAGTTGCATTAAAATAATTCACATCCACAAGTCACATCCATAATGCTGCTTAACTGTATACTGCAAATATACTCTGAATATTCAATATATCCCCCGGCCCTAGTCAGAAATACGCAGTGTTAAACAATTCCAGAGCAGGAGGATAGACCTGCTAGTGCTTGGTGACAGCAAAAATACATCTCAAATTAAAAGCCAAGCACACTGCTGGGTCCTCCACATTACTACAACATATAAATATAAATCTCTACAATATCAGAAAAAAGAAATCTTGCTGATCTAAAACATTTGAACAGTAGTTAGGGTTAAGTTTAAACCTGAGTGGTGTAGACATTTAATGAAACAGATCACAAATCACAGCAGTCAAACAGAAATGGAAGGTCAAGTTAAATACAATGTGTTATGAGATACAGAATGCTAGGTTGTATTTTGGGCATTTGACAAATAATCGGTCATCTAGGTATGCAATGCATACATAAAAGTTGCATACTATGAACAGAACATAATACATACTACAGAAACAGTAAGAATAGTATTACATTATTCTATTCTAAACATACCCTCTAGAAAAAAGTAACAACCAAGCAAAAGTTGCATTAAAATAATTCACATCCACAAGTCACATCCATAATGCTGCTTAACTGTATACTGCAAATATACTCTGAATATTCAATATATCCCCCGGCCCTAGTCAGAAATACGCAGTGGTAAACAATTCCAGAGCAGGAGGATAGACCTGCTAGTGCTTGGTGACAGCAAAAAATACATCTCAAATTAAAAGCCAAGCACACTGCTGGGTCCTCCACATTACTACAACATATAAATATAAATCTCTACAATATCAGAGGCTATTGTGAGTTACTGGGCAATATCCTGCATAATGGTGAGAGAAGTCCAAACATTGCAATGCTAAGCAGAATTTTTACGGGCAACATAGGGCCATAGGTGTGGTCATATTGTTGAAAGGAAAATTAACATGGCTATTATGGTATGGTTGTAATATGGTTGTTACAAGGCCCTTTTCTGGTGAAATCAACACAATACTAAAGGCATTATGTGCAAATGGGATCACAGAATAGTTGGCAAAAGCACAATGCAGGTGAAATACGTCTCATCAATTTTCATGCGAGTAGAAAATAAAAGGCAAATTACTTCCAGATATGTAAGCAAGCTGCTCGCATTTGCATAAAATATTGGGCTGTGAGCGAGGAGTGTGAGTATGCGAGCAGTTTGCCAGAGGGCAGCCTTATCTTAAACGTGTGCTGTTCCTTCTGCTATACACACACAGAAGACTTTTCCACACTATAATCTACATACAAAAGCTAACAGAGTGGCAAAACTGTCAATGTAATTAATCATTTCCATTGAGAATTTCATTAACATGCTATTATAATGAATTAAACAAGTGAATAATTCAGTTATCAACTAACAAGACATACTTTGTGAACGAACAACTTTTTGTGTGCCTCTCTGCAACTGTAGGACATGTCATTTTACTAGTCGTCTGGAAGCGTCTAGTATTACTTTTGCATGCTCTGTCCCTTCTGTTAAATGAGATAAATGGTGGGAAAGTGGCCACACCTCTCGTTCACTCATGTTACAGCGGGATCACACCCACTGCGTGTCCTCCAACTGCTGCCGATTCACCTGAACAAGCAACTCAAACAGTCTGGAATCACAACCACACCCAAACAATAATGGCAGGTTTGGCTCAACATGTTCATCTTTCCCATCACAGAGGGGAATCCCATCCATTTCTAACATCAGCTTCATTGTGTTCTGCTCATAATCCAGCAATTTTCTGAAGATATGAGACCATGAAAACAGTAGTAAAATGTAATAAATGTATCAAACATATCAATTTTAAGATACAAAGAACTGAAAAAAGAGAACTATTTCCAAAAACAGCAGGAAACTCTTGTCATAGTCATGTTTATTTTGTGCTGAAACTGGTATTAATGTGGAGGAGACGATCAGTTCACATGCGCCTCGCGCTGTCGAACTGTACTGTTCTCCACACACTGTTCGGCATGCACTAGGACCGCGGTTCAACTTAAATCTGTTGCTATCTGGGTTTAAACTAAACTCATGTAAGCTCATTTAAAACATTTAAGAGCCAGAAGACACGAGCTTGTGTCAGCACTTTCTTAAAGGGGTCGTATGAT